GTGGTTAAATAAGATAGTAATAAGAGTAAAATGGTGAATCAGTGGTTCTACTAAATGCAGACTCAAACTGCATGATCTTAGAGGTTTTCAGAATCCATTAAAGTTTTGTTGCTCATAATCAACTTGGAATTGGGAGAAGCATTTTAATACGGTAAAACCACTGTGTGTAGGGGGTAGAGAGGCTTTAAAATTATTCATGTTCTAGAATCCATTGATATGTTGCTACTTTGTCTTGCCAAAACTTTCAGCAAATGAAGACAGAAAATGTTGTGACCATGACCTGAGCTTCCTTCATGGCTTCCAACATCAACTCCAGGAGGCTTAGAGTTGTTGTGGTGCGGCAATGAGAACTCCCCTATAAATAGTCGATATCCCCCCCTCTTTTTTTACCGAGGCAAACTTATGAGAGAAACATTGCAAAAAGTGATTGAGTTTTATGGTGTTCAGTGAGATATTTGGGGAAAGGTTAGGTTGTACATCCTGTGGATCGGGTTTTTTTTTTGCTATTTTATCATTTAAGTATGACACTGTTGATTTTAACTATAGAATGAACATTTACATTTACTGATTTTTTTAGGGTTTAAAAGTCAAAATGTGGATTGTAGATAGCACCATTGCAGGCACTTTTTATCAAGTCTGTCAGTTGATTTCAGCAATACATAGTTTTAAGTGCTGTTAAAGGGAACTGTATGAGTTTTATATTGGCTTAAATTAATTAAATTTAATCCAGCCTTCATTTTGTTACTGGTTTGGGTATAATTTAATCAAGCTACCATATAATCTTGGTACCAATAAAAGAAGAACTCTGTGTGCCAAGAAAATTTAATATGTATTTTACCTAGTGTTTGTTATGGCAAAGAGATATACAGTCATTGATGGCTGAACCATCTAGCTCTGTAATCATAAAAATCTTGCTGAACAGAGGGTTAAATGCCTATAACAAAGTAGAGGTTAATGAATCCTGTGTTCAGAGGATATGTTTCTGTTTACTCATAAACAAATAGTTGTATATTATTGGTTATAAAAGGTTTTAGAATTTTAACTAGCCATGATACAATTAGTCTCAGTCTAGATTATAGACAAGCGCCACTTAATAAGTACTAGGAACCCAACAAGCAATAAAATGCATGCAAAAGTGTAAATGGTTTTAAGCTAGCAAAAGAGATGTAGCATAATAGCAGTGGTGGGAACTAAAGGAAGTTATCTTTTTTATTGTTATCTCTTTAGTTTATCTACCCTTTCCTGTGTAAATTGTTCAGTGTTACACCAAAGAAAGGGTGTGTGTTAATTTTAGTGATAGAATGTTACTCAAGTTAAACTGCCCTGTAAACACTCTTTTACCGTGTGAATTTCCGTGTACTACCAAGGAATGTTTTCCCCAGCTTGATGATGCATTATTGTTAAACCAGTTCCATTTCTAGTTTGGGCTATGCAGTAACAAATCCGCTCTGATAGGCAGTACAAAAATAGTATAAATGGGACTATAATTATTATAAATATGCATCGTAGTTTGAGCACAAAATGGGGCTTTTATGAAAGCAAGTGTTGTGGTGGTGTGAAAATATGAGTCAGTGAAAGTTTATCAAAAGTGGGGAAAAAACACTATCCAGCCTCCTAAGAAATTCTGTTTTGTTTCTGTTTTGCTTTACTCTTGTCGCATGTCATGCATGAATGAAAATGCTGCATTCTCCGGGGAGCAGTAAAGTCTCTGTGTAGGTTGTTTATTTCCTTAATCCCTCCTTCCTTGTGACTCTTGATGTCAGATATAAAATGGAAAGCCTGTAAATATAGTGATTATCATACTGATTATCACCTGCACTAGGGAACGCCCTGCCCTGACTGGCTATCATAACCCTTACGGACGCCACATGGTACAGCCATGCCAAGGTTAGATTTTAACCTGACTACTTTATTAGAGATGTGACGCTCAGTGTGAGGCACCCTGAGGCAGCACAGATGGGGACTGCTTGTTTCACTTTTTCCCTCTTATTGTGAATATAAATGAAGACTGGAGACATTTGGTATGGTTTTAATCAGGCTGCAACTTTATTATTCAGTATCTAGAACTACCCAGCAGATAAGAAGTACACAGGGCAGATAACTCCATGATCATTTCGATGGCTGCTCGCGGCTTCTGCCAGCCCCCCCTCTTTTTCAGACTGGGTCCGCCAGCCAACCGATTGCTGGGACCTTGCCAACCCTCTCCTACTCAAATGAGGGTTAAGGTGGGATATAAGGAAGGGGGGGGTGCTCCCTGCCAGGCCACTTATAGGAACCCCAAATCTCCTTTCCATTGCACTCAGTTAACAAAAACCTTTTAAAGTCCTTTACTGAGCCATTTATCTGGTCACCGTATCCATTCCCTGTGGAGCCCCTGTACTGCACATCCCACCCCACACTTACATAATGAGCTGCACTATCATAGCCTAATTTCCTTCCTTATTAGCCATAGCAAAGGGCCTCCCCACACACACAAGTCCCTTATGGGGAAGGTGACAAAAACTGACTCCACCTAAGCCAGTCTAGTGGTGAGGGAAAAATTCCTTCCTGGTCCCCCTAAAATGGAGCAGCTAGTGTGATGCCCGCAGCAGGTCCTGACCAAACCTCAAGAAAAAGGAATATGGGTGTTGCGCCACCTGGTTGGGGGAAAAGAACTTCTCCCCCTGGGCTTGTCCCATTTCACCTCCCCAGCTTTTTCAGGCTCTGCTGATGAGTCCATGTCAGCGTGCTGACTGACTCCGCTTTTTGCAGCAGCTTCTGAGCCCTTTCTGCCCATAAAACTATTCCCTTCTCCCCTCCCAACCTTAAGGTGCAGTGGGATGGTCCCCACTTCTGTTCAGTTAACTTACTTTGAACTATCCCTGGTATCTGAGACCTCACTTTTCGGCAAACCCTAATCTGCAAATCTTCAGTATTGTGTTTTGAACTCTTGAGGGTTAAGGTTATTTTTAAATGGGCGTGTGATCCTTCATAGAGAGTTGCATATGTTGAGCGTATCTCAGGATCAAGCCCACAGTTCTTGAGATAAAACTGTTCAAGTGTTGTTCTGATGGGTTTGTTGATTGTGGGCTACGGGGTCAGGAAAGAGACAAACATTACCGTTGCTCTGCCATTATAGGAAAATCTGTGGCTGTATAAACCAGCTACCATGAGTTATGTAGCAGGAGGAATAGCAGACAGCATAAAAGATGAAGCTATAAGAAGGAAAATCAGTGCTTACACATTTTTGTGGATGGGCCAGGACTTTCAAACTGCATGTGTTATATGAGAAGGCCTAATTCCAGAAAATTAAGATGAATTTCCTAAAAGTCTCTCTCCCATACAAGGAAACAGAAATACTGTTAACTGGAAGAGTTTGCACATCACGGATGTAAGAGTGGACTGGTATCCACTTTCCTGTCCAAACAATAGTTTAACACAGATGTTAATGTCTTGTTGCTCTGGGGCCTTAAAGAAGGCCCCTCAGGAGAGATCAGTAAGTATAAATTCTTATTTCAGTTTATAACTAAAAACAAGGTAAAAATGTAATCTGGCAACAAAACATGGTTTTTAGTTCATTTTCATATTCTCTCTGCAGCTTATGACTCTATTTTTTTCATTTTTTGCTTTTTCCATGTCCCAGTCCCGTCTAAGCCTTTCCTGATTGCATTGCAGTTCATTGTGAGTGCATCACTTTATAGTAGAGGCTTGCAGACTCCTTTTTTTCATGAGCAGAGGCTTTGTTAATGACATGCTGGTTTAGGAAACTCTGCATGATATCTTTGAACCCTACACTCTTCCTTGACAGCCAGGCTAGCAAGTGTCATTGACTATGTGATGTACAAGAAAGAATTCTATTGTAAGTAAATTGTCAAAGTGGCTAACCTTGCCTGCACCCAATTGTCAGGCCCATGATTCAGTTTTTCTGTCAACATCAGCTAAGACTAACCTGGGCAGCCTTATATTTCTGCAGTGAGAAGCCTGAGGAGTTGTGCTGTTCAGCTTATCACATTTTATTAACCTGACCTTACTGTTGTTATAATCAATTGCATCCACTTCAAGTTCTTAAATTGTCAAAAAATTGGCAGGTTACATCGGTTCACAAATGTGTGTTTTTCCCTCCCCAGCGTACTGCTGAAAAGTGAGGCATTTCCAAAAGCTGTCCTACAGATCCTGTTAGTATGCCTAGGCACACTGCCTTAAATGGTAGTTGTTTTAGTTTAGTTGAATCATCTTGCTATTCCAGCTCAAGACCCATCCATCCATTAATATCAGGTGGCAAAGTTAATTTGGAAAAAGGCAAGTTATGGTGAAAAGACTCCTGACAATTATCTGCAATATTTGCTTATGCTAAGCTGGAAAGTGGATAGGAAAATAACATTGCTATCATCCTCTGTCTTCTTTCATTGAAAAACAATAGCTATGACTGGAACAATTAATAGAAGTAAGAAACAAGAACACTGTGGCTCCCTGATGGTTCTCCGGCTCTTCGAGGAAAAAAACATATTTACAGTGCCTGATACTGTGATTAAGACATCAGAGTATTTAAAAAGCTCATGTGATGCTGCCATAAAGATTTGATCTCATTTTGGTTAAATAATATGTAATCCTATCTTCTGATTGCATAGTAGCCAACAAATAATTTTTCAAAAAGGCTTAATGAAGTGTAATGCACATATAAGGGCATGATGTTTTTTTAATTAAGAATGTATGTTAAAGCCATATGCCCAGGTTTGCTTTTAAAGTTACTACAACCAGAAGTAAATGTGCCAGCTTAGAGAAAAATACAGATAGCACCTTCTTCATATGAACTTCTGAAGTCCGTTGATAATATACTGCTGTCTTGTGAAGGGCGGGGGTGGAAGGGAGCCTTTTAGTGCAAGTATCAAAATTGAGCAACTGTATATGGATATATTGAGATAATTGTGTAAAAGAACAACTGCCTGAATGAGTTTGAAAATGTGTTATTTCTTCATTATCTAGCACTTTATAATTAACTGTTCTTTTTTTTATTATTTCAGGAAGCTGCCACTTTTGCTAGAGAGCAAGGCTTTGAGGTGAGTTAACCCACAATTGCACACTAAACAGATCCTAAAGGTTTTTTTTCTTGCTGATAATGAAGTTCTTTTGGACAGTGATTGATGTGCTATTATACTCTCCAAGCCTCGCAGCGGTTGCCATGGAAACTTGGCAGTCGTCATGGTTTCTTTGTTCTGCCAGCTCAGTGTTATGACGCACTCTGCTAGGTCTGCACCCAACATCGCCTACAGATGTTATTTATTGAATTTTGAAAAGCCTCTTGGGAAGCCGAGAGGTTGGGCACGGTTTCAAGCTGCCTCTGCAGATATGGGACCTGTCAGTTTGTTCAGCTAAAAAGCTACCTCATTAGCTGCATTACACTCCATAAGGATTCGCTGCTAAAGCAGTGGTGAAGCAAGACTAAATAGTGAAATATAACACCGTTTAAATAACTTAAACCCTGCCACATGCGGATTATCATTATGCAAATGGATTTTAGAAAGGTTGTATATAAAATGGTTAGGAACTGATTAATGTGAACCCTGCATCTACAAACAGCCTCTTTTGGAAGGGTGGTGTAAGTTTTTGTTTCTGCATGCACACAAGTTGGTGTTTTCCATCTGTGTTCTACAGAATGTACAATCCCTCACTTAACACTCTCTTTTCAAGTAAACCCTGTTGATTTTACAGTGATTTTCAGAGCTTTTGATGTCGACTTTGTATCTTGATGTATTTATTTGAATGACTACTTTTTTTATAGTTTCTCACTGGCTAAATTCAGATAACTTAATCCGAAGAGTTATCAGCTATAGGACTAGAGAGCCATCTCCAAATGTGCTGCTCTTAAACACTATAATTAGTGTGACGACAACTGTACTAATTTTACTGATAGTTAAGTGATCCTACTGAAATCTAAATTGCAGAACAGAGCACATGTAAATCCCTTTCAGGACTTTTTAATAAGAATCCGACTCACTTCAAGTAATATGTTCTCAGTACAAATGTATAGATAGAGCTTTGATTCTTGTTGCCATTTGCATTAATAGGAACAGCACAGTTAGGACCCCATAGGTTGATTTGAGAACATGCCACTTTTGTATGTGTTGGATTATGTACAAAAGAAGAGAGAGAGATTCATATCCTTTGTTCCTCAATTTAGATTTCTTTAGGCTCATTCCCCAGCAGGTATATCCGTGTTTTGGATATTAAAAATGTGGGCTGTCCCATTTCAATGTATGTGTCGTAAATCCTTGCAATTGCTTTGTAGAAATCAGACATTTTATCACTGTCAGGTTTCATTTGTATAATCTGTATTGTTACAAAAATACATTTTCCACTTATTCTGTCAATGAAATGAATTTTGCAAATATTCCATGTACCACATGTAGTGTAACAAATTATTGGGACCTAGTAGTAGCTAGACTATTAAAAAAAAGAGGGGAAGTAGTGTATTAAGCCTACCCATTCTATATTTTTATTGCCACCTTGAGCTAAACACTTTGAATGTGCCTGGTTTAAATTCAGTCCTAGTGACAGACCACTTTTGCTGGTGTCTGTTAACCACCATCATGTTAACCTTTCCATTAGCATTGCATAGAGATTCTAGCATAGATTTTTCTGAACATCCTAAATCTGCCACATTTGATTAGACCACATCAGTAAAGTGCACAGTGATTATGATCTTATCTCTTATTGGCCCATTGCTTGGCAATAACTGACATGTCAAGTTTGCTGACACTTATATATACAGTTTGATAAGTGTCTGCTCTTGTTTTCCCTTTCTGGGTTGAAAACAAAATCCCAACACCATAAAGGGACTTTAAGGGGAAGTAGAATAACCTCAGTTAGATATTTCATAAATAATATGTGAGAATCAAACGAAAAAGCTGAGCCAAGCCACTGATATTTGAGAATGTTTTCTGAGCTTGCTTTGGCACAGAGTAATTTGGAAATGCCTGCTGGAGAGTTTTGTACTTCATAGAATCATAGAATACTAGGGTTGAAAGGGACTTCGAGAGGTCATCGAGTCCAGTCCCCTGCCCTCATGGCAGGACCAAATACTGTCTAGACCATCCCTGATAGACATTTCTCTAACCTACTCTTAAATATCTCCAGAGATGGGGATTCCACAACCTCCCTGAGCAATTTATTCCAGTGTTTGACCACCCTGACAGTTAGGAACTTTTTCCTAGTGTCCAACCTAAACCTCCCTTGCTGCAGTTGAAGCCCATTGCTTCTTGTTCTATCCTCAGAGGCCAAGATGAACAAGTTTTCTCCCTCCTCCTTATGACACCCTTTTAGATACCTGAAAACTGCTATTATGTCCCCCCTCAATCTTCTCTTTTCTAAACTAAACAAACCCAATTCTTTCAGCCTTCCTTCATAGGTCATGTTCTCTAGACCTTTCATCATTCTTGTTGCTCTTCTCTGGACCCTCTCCAATTTCTCCACATTCTTCTTGAAATGCGGAGCCCAGAACTGGACACACTACTCCAACTGAGGCCTAACTAGCGCAGAGTATAGCGGAAGAATGACTTCTCGTGTCTTGCTCACAACACACCTGTTAATGCATACACTAAAGCACAGTGTAAACTAACCAGGCTTAAAACCAAGTCTAATGTAAAAAGAAATGGATAGACTAGCAGTTTATAAGCAAGCAAACCAGAATGGGGGGGGGAGGGGCAGAGAATAAGCATTGTTTAGCCTTGAGGAAAGGTGAGTTGGGAGTCAGCTGTTATACATGACATTCTTTTTTTGTTTTTCTTTGTAAATTTTGGATAATGGTTTTTAAAGAAGACCTCAATCCCTAAAATGGATTCAGTGATTTGCAGCGAGAAGAGACAACTTTAAGAGCACTGGAAAGTAAGATAAGAACTGGAATTGGGCAGAGCAAAAAACGGGGTATTTTCAAGTAGGTGATAGAATATTAGAATCATAGAAATGTAGGGCTGAAAGGGACCTTGAGAAGGCATAAGGTCCAGCCTCTGTGCTGCAGTAAATCTAGACCATCAGAGACATTTGTTTATCCAAACAGTTTTTAAAACCTTCATTGTTGGGGTTTCTACAGCGTCCCTTCAAAGCCTACTCCAGATCTTTACTAGAGGATGGACTTCCTAGGTCCATCCCTCTGACCGGTCCCAGATGAGGGAGTATACCTGACCAGGAAGGTCAGCGCCGGCCCATGTGGGATTCCAGGGCAGGACTGCCAGCCCCCTGCTGCTGGTCCAGCCCTGCTACCAACAGCTACCCACAGCCAACGTCCCATTTGGGCTGCTAGCTGCCAATCCCCCTGCTACCAGCCCAACCAGCTCCTGGCCCTGCTGCCACTTCCACACAAAACTGTTGGTCTCCTAGAATACGGCAGACCTTTAAAAAAAAAAATCAAACCATTACTGTAGATGTACTGAATCAGATGCCTTAATCAGTAGGGAGCTGCCTGCCCCTGTATCATTTTTATGCCTCCTTAGCTAACTCAGAGCCAAATCCAAATGTAAAATCTAGCATTCGTGGGCATCATGTGGATTTATGACACTCCTTTAGATACTTTAGGGCCATAAAACAATGATGGGTTTGCACTCATCCATATATGTGAGGGAGTAAAGGATTCCGAACCATACCCTTGATAAGAATTCAAATATAATACAATGCAAGTTACCAATAAAAGTAGGAAATAATCTTTGCTACAGGTATTTCATGATATTATGTATGGAGTAATTTGGCTGGATAAAAATGATTTCTACAAACTTGAGGAAAGACAGCACCTTACAGGTACCTAAGATAAAACCCTCACTTGTAATTCATCTTTCACTTTACTGAACTATGTAACACAAAATACCACAACACATTACAGTGCATAATGGTGAAACTAAGCTAAACCCTGAAGAGGTAAAGGACTCTCCCACACTGAGATTATAACGACCCCATTTTAGTTCTCCTCTTTTACTCAATAACTTTGGTGAGGAAGATTAGTTTGGCCTGAAAATTAACTTATTTATTCTCAAGGCAAAAGATAATACCCAATTTTATTCAAAGGTTGCAGCAACAGTTACAGGACACTAAATTACCCTGATCTGAAATTTTGTCTTTTGTACAATTTTTTTGTTCCTGTGTAACTCAGAGACAGCTTATTACTTCTACTTCCAGCTTCACATATAGTTTAGATCTGCTTGAAAACTTCTATTTTATCTTACTGCCTTTCATTTCCTCCTTTACCTTCATCCTCAGCTAATCTTTTCCCCCTTGGGTCCTTCCTCTCTGCTTTCAAGGATACCCTTGTAATCTCTCACCCTGAAGAACTACTCTCTTAATCACACCATTTTCTCAAACCATAGCCCCATCGTTCTCATTTCCTTTGACTCTGAAATCTAAGCAAGTTAGTTTACTCCAAACGTCTTCAAATTCTCTGATTCCTTCATCCTCTTAACCATGAACTCTCTAATGACTGTCACTAAGAAACACCTCCTAGTTAAATCTGATAGCCTCTTCTCTAGCATTATTTTCCTTGAGCTGTGTGATGTTTTATTCTCTTCTCTTTCGTGCCTCTTTTCATGGCCTGTACAGATTCAGGATTTTAATAAAAACAGCTAATAGCTTGGATATTTGTCTCAACCAATGTAGGCCTGCCATTATCTGCCTCCAAACATCCCCTGTCTGCTACGTGCAGTTATCTTCTTTAGGAGAGGTCCTATAGCATTTTTACAGGGTTCATCTCGCCCTTCTTTTCCTGGAGAATAGGACAATGTAACCCTTCTCTCTTTCTTCCCTCAAGCAGGAAAGATGTGGTTCTCCTCTCTTTGTCTTTCTGGTGGGGAAGTTTATCTTCCAGTCTCTTTGTCCCATTCTTCCCATGTCATCCTGCATCTCTCCTCCTGTCAGCTTTGAAAGGAAGAAGCCATCCACAATCCGTTTTTTCTCTCCATAGTTCTCTTTTATACTAAGAGACAGAAACAGCTGTTGCTTCTTGGTTGCCTTATTACTACCTTGTGCTTTCTGCCCTGGACCATTTTTGGACAGTCTAGCAGACAGAAAAGCAGCTATG